TTATATTACCTGACTATATGACATAAAAGGAGTTGAAGTTACAGAGAGTGAGGTTTCCTTGATAGTTGAGATAGATTAGGTATTTGCATCAGGTACTTAAGTCAGATTTTCATTGATTGAGTTTAGGCTAGCATTTTGTTTTGGCAGTAGCTATGCAAACTCTTCGCCATTAATAGTAATTTGTATAGTATTATTACTATTTATAGTAATTTGTATGTCAATATTGTTATTGATAGTATTGGATATTTTATTTTTTTCTGTGATATAGTTATTTACTGTAGTACTATGAGTCACATGTTATACATCAGCCTTTTTTGATAGAGGTATACTGTTTTGCCCACTTTTTGCAGTTTGGGAAGTAACAAGAGGATTGAATCTTTGTTTTTTGGTATTTAGTAAGTCTGGCTTTTGGTTTTTGTCACTGGATAGAAGTTTTGCTACATCCTTACTAGTGCTAGCAAGATTGTAGTCATCTGTAGTAGACATTTGGATAGTGTTGTACTTCTGAATATAATAAGAAGTAGAAGGTTGAGCAAAAATATCCTCTGAAGGAAGAATATTCTCTTTGCTGTTGTTGTCTCTTTGCTTTCTCTTTATTTTGAATTCTTATGAAGCTTGGTAGTTGTGTTCTAGTATTTTTGGCCTTGTCAGGCCAGATTTTTAGTATAATTAAGTAGCACTTCTAAGTATTTTTGTTGTTTTTCTTTCCTGAATTATTTGGTAAAATGATCTACAGGAAAGAGTATTTAATAATTAGACTTGCCTCGTGTAATTTTTCTTTTATATTATATTGATTTTTTATTATGCAAATCGACTTTCATTTATAATTGAAAAATGTCAATCATGTCAAAATTTAGTTGAATCCAATAAAAACTCATTTTTCGAAAATTGCAAGATAACACCCCATAATATGATCATTGATACAACGTATATATTATCTTGCTAAATATTTCTATTTTATAATAATATTCTCCTACTAAATTAAGTCTACTAGATCTTTATTTGTGTACGTTCTCCGCCACGTGAAAGTCATTTGGTCAAAAAAAAAAAAAAAAGAAATTTAAGTTATCGTTATCATTTTTTATAGATCAATGTTTTACAATATTGAAAGAATTGAACATTTATTTAAATATCAGATGCCTATCCACTTGTAAATGTAAATTGCAAATCAATACGTACTATTATAATTAACGCATCAAGTTTTTTTGACGTAATAACTTAAATTGATTACGTTCATTTACATTGGAATAAGGAAAAACATATATCATTCATGAGCTATGTTCTAAATATCAAACTAAGGTAGTCCTATAGTTTAGTACCCTCCCTTATTCAAACTTTGAATAAATAAATATAAATTTAATGTAGATATTTAGTCTGACTATCGGAGATTTGGCAGCTGAATTCCCTGCAGAACCAGAAAAGGGACCACGCCATTATTTGGTTCTCGTTTATAGTAATCAACCAAGTGTGCGTAAGTACGGTAGATAAAATAAACTTCAAATACGAATATTACTTAATTTTCATATCATTTCATTTCTTTTAAATTAATAACCGAAAAACGCCATTTTTTCTAAGTATATCGAATTATTTTTCAGTGTAATTTCCTAATAATTGTTCAAAAAAAGTGGAAATTTTGGTTGTAAGTCCTTTCCTAGTTTCCAGCATGTACCGAGGCCTTAGATCTTGATTCGGATGGTGAACGTTTCGTTATGTAGAATGGCCGCTGAGCATAGTGATTCTAGAAGCATTTAGCAAACTGGTTTAGTTGTTTTTTTTTTTAAAAAAAAAAAAAACTCTTTAAATTTTTTAGCAATACTATTTTTTATAATCTTATATTTATACATGGGAACACATAGGAAAACCATATGAACTAAAAATTTCCAATGATGATTTTCTATATGGGTTGTAAAAAATCCGAATTAGTAAAGAATAATAATGTCAAAAGAATTGAATCAGTAAGATGGTCTGATATTGGCAGGTTGGAAGAAGTAAAGGTAGGATTATTTTGGTATTTCGTCTTTAAAAAAACATTACTATATCAATTGAAACAAATTTATTAGAACATACTGGAAGAGTCAGTAATTTGGATATATAAACACGTCGATGCTTTTCACTATCATGGAATAAAACCCTCTAAAGGTGTTTTACTGTGAGTTCATCCTATATTGCTGTATATTATATTTTGTCTCACTCTGTTGTTTCTATTCATAATACAGATATTTCTTTAATTATTATTATGAAAAATTTATAGTTATGGTCCGCCAGGTATAGGTAAAACTCTACTCGCTAAAGTCGTGGCCATAGAATTGTCCCCATTTTATACCAGTTTCAATACCAGATTCGATCAAAAGCGAGGTAAGCAATCCTCAGAAACATGTTTTTGCATCAATGCCTCAATGTGATAATTGACAACATTATGTAGTAATATTCAATAAGTAGCTGCGCAACGCAGTTGCGCGAAACCAGGAACGGGGAAGTAATGAATACAGTGCTAGATACTATGAAAAGACCTTTATAAGGGTATTTTTTAGTAAGCACACTTCAGACATGCACATGATTTAGAATTGACAATCTATTATAGAAAAAAGATGATTGTAATTCTTTGATTTAGAATTGACAATCTACGTATTATAGAAAAAGGATTTAGAATTGACAATCTATTATAGAAAAAGGATAATTTTTAATATTAATAAGATTAATGTTAAACCTGTATAAAGAACTAAGAAAAATATTCTTTATAAATGCAAAAATGGTAATTGAGAGGCTATTTTAAATTTTAAGCTCCTTTTACGAGATTAAAATCGGACGATTTTGTAATAAATTTATAATATGAAAACCATTGACCATATTGTCTATTCTTATAAATTTTCATATAATTTAAAGGATCGTACGATATAAATAATTAATATTCTCAAATGATAATACGTATTCATAGTCATTCTGGAATAGAACTCGAGTTGACTAAAGTCAACAGATCAAAAAGGAGCTAATCAAGAGTAATCAATGTAAATGACCTTCCATATATAGTAATTCTAACTCAATAAGGCAATAGTCAAGTTATATAAAGTAGAGGTTGGAACCGGTTTTATTAATTCGGGTTTATCACATGAATTTTGTGATATTTTAGAATTTATTAAAATTTAATTGGATAAATTTCTAAAATATCACTAAATTCATGTGATAAACCCGAATTATTAAAACCGGTTCCAACCACTACTCTGAGGCACCAATTGACCCTTTTTTTTTCTATATTATTTTTTATATATATATATATTGTCGTTTTAGAAAACGGTGAGTCTGTCACTCAAACTTGTGGATCTTCGTGCAACGTTCTATGATAACTTATCAAAAGACGGCGTAGTGATTAGGCAAAGGGGATTCCAAGGCTTCGGTTATCGTTCGGACTCCGGTCACGTGGTTGGTCTTAACGTTATTGAGTCTCTTAACTTCCCTTAATCTATTCAAATTGACCTATCCTCTCTCTTAGGATAGTCAAACACAAGATAATCGGGCAAGTTCTCTCTACTCAATGACTTAACAACACTTTACTCTATCACAAAGAGTAAATGGGCAGCGTGACGTTATCTGGGTTATATTTATTTAACTTAGTGATAATCGGGTTGGGAATTTATAAGCGAATTTATTGGGTCAAAGGAAGGTTTGGGATAAGTTTAAGAAGACAAAATTATTATCAGCAGTGTGATCTTTTTATTAAAGGGCAGAATTGCCCGCTTATATACTTGTTGGAACAATGGGTTTGGCGATAACGTTTATTGCTCTTAAAACTATTATAATACATATAATGAATAAAACTATTAAAATCAATAAAACCTTTATAACGTTTATAAACATTATAATCATTATAACCCTTAAAACCACTATAATGATTATACAGATGATAATAGTTATATTTCTTAAAACCACTATAATCACTATAACTATTATAACTATTATATCCCTTATAACCATTATAACCACGAGTTCTTTATAAAAGTTGAGGATCTACTTAGCCGTGAAATTATGCTGCGGCTAAGTTATATGAGCTCTGAGAAGGAAGCTCAGAACCCAATTTCCCTATGTGATATTTCTCCCCTTCCAACTTTAGTGAGTTCCACGAACATCCAACCTCAAGATCAATGGACCATCAATTACCTCTTGTCTAGTCGGGTTCGTTCACGTCTTCAAGAATTTTGGCATCTATAGCATCTCTTTACTAGGTGCAGTGTTTATTACTCACCAACACTAGGCTTTATACGCAACTTATAAGTCCCTCAAGGCCATTTCTCAACTAATTCTCTTGGACCAGAGTCTTTAAGGATTGGAAGGCTTCTTTAATTTGTAGAGCTATAGGTCTTTTTATAAGGTAGGCAGGCCTTTATCTTTATATCAGTTTGGATATGGATTATTCAGATATATTATTCTTTTTCTGTTTTATTCATTTCTTCTTTGATTTATTACTAATCAATTATCTTTCTTCTAGGCTTCGTTTCTGCGCTAGTAGTTGGTTACACTATAATACCATTTTAAGGCTTCGCAAAGACTTAATTGATAATTGGTGTGGACGTATCCTTTTTCTTGTTACTGTTCTCGTTGTTCCTTTTCTCTAATTTTCATTTCACTTTCTTTTTTATAATTCCCTGATTGTTCTTTTTCATGCTCTGGGGATATCAGCTATATGCTTTTAATAAATTCTCATGTTCTTTTCTGACTTTTCTTTCAGATTAGGTTTTCACAGTCTACTTGGCAAAGTTTGAAAAGTGTTATTGCCTGGACTTTTTATCTTGTTCAAGTAAGTCTTCGTGAATTTCTCCTCTCTCTTTGTTTTTATTGTAAAGTACCCCTTTTTCTCTCGCACTTTACTGTTGTGACCGTCCTACTACTTTTTTTTTTTTTTTTTTTTGTCACATCCATTTAATAATTTTTTTTTTTTAAGTTTCTTTTATCTTCTACAGGTTTTCTAGGTTTTTGTGATTTTGTCTTTGCTGATACACTTCCAGAATCTACTTCTGTAGGGTCAAAAGGTCAAGTGGATTATTGGCAACAAGTTGGTATCCTCTGAAATTAGTCCAATAGATGGCTTCTCTTAGCCTTAACTTTTCCATAGTGAAATGACTTCCAAGAGTAGGGTGAGTATAAATGAAGTATGTATTTTCATACTCAACGTACTGAGCAGAGAAGGCTAACTTCTGTCTTCTCTTTTTAGTCATCTTTTGGTACTGGAATACTAGTATATTAATAGATTCTACTCTTTTTTCGGGTATTGGTCTTTCTGCATTCTCCTCTATTGGTGTTTGAGTAGTTAGTTCTGTTTCTGATAAGTTTGAATCATTACTATCTTCTAGCTTACTCATAGGTTTGTTTATTAATTCAAGCTCTTCTTTCTCTATAGTCTTGGCCTCAGTCTTTTTCTCTTCAGGTGAGGTAAAGTCTGTTTCTGTGTTTTCTGTACTAACACTTTCCTTTTCCTCATTAATTTCCGAATCAGGGTCTTAACCAAAATTATTATTTTCTTTAACTTCAACGATACTACTCGCCTAATTAGTAATGTTAGTTCTACTAGATGCTATTTTGATCTTATACTCTAGGTCTACGTTCTACCAGGCTTTGCCCGTATCTAAGTTAAGTCGTTTGGCATGTATTTCTATCTTTTTTTTTTTTTATTTTTTTTTATTTTTTTATTTTTTTGGGCAAGTATACTAAATTCAGTTGTTTTTCTTATTTCTTAATACTAATCCTATCTTCTCTTTTTAGGTATCCTTTGGTTTTTTTTCGTCAGGAGGTAAAAATGTATCAATCTCCAGAGGTCGTATCAAATCTTACAGTCACTACCAAAATGTCGTTTTAGAAAATGGTGAGTCTGTCACTCAAACTTGTGGATCTTCATGCAACATTCATGATAACTTATCAAAAGACAGTGTAGTGATTAGGCAAAAGAGATTCCAAGGCTTTGGTTATCGTTCAGACTCTGGTCATGTGGTTGGTCTTAACGTTATTGAATCTCTTAACTTCTCTTAATCTATTCTAATTGACCTATCCTCTCTCTTAGGATAGTCAAACACAAGATAATCGGGCAAGTTCTCTCTACTCAATGACTTAACAACATTTTACTCTATCACAAAGTGTAAATGGGTAGTGTGACATTATTTGGGTTATGTTTATTTAACTTAGCGATAATCAGGTTAGGAATTTATAAGCGAATTTATTGGGTCTAAGGAAGATTTGAGATAAGTTTAAGAAGACAAAATTATTATCAGCAGTGCGATCTTTTTATTAAAGGGCAGAATTGCCCGCTTATATACTTGTTGGAACAATGGGTTTGGCGATAACGTTTATCGCTCTTAAAACTATTATAATATATATAATAAATAAAACCATTAAAATCAATAAAACCTTTATAATGTTTATAAATGTTATAATCATTATAACCCTTAAAACCACTATAATGATTATACAGACTATAATAGTTATATTCCTTAAAACTACTATAACCACTATAACCATTATAACCATTATATTTCTTATAACCATTATAACCACGGGTTCCCTATAAAAGTTGAGGATCTACTTAGCCATGAAATTATGCTGCGACTAAGTTATATGAGCTCCGGGAAGGAAGCTCAGAACCCAATTTCCCCATGTAACAATATATTATTATTATTCATTTATTTTGTATTTAGCAATAGTATTATTTGTTTTTAGTTAGTCTTTTACCTTATTAAGTAGGACCCAGAGGTTGGAATAATTTAGGGTAAAGATCGTCTTACATGAATTTCTGGAATTTCTAGAATTCCTGCTATTGTTAGATTGTAAGCTAGTAGCCCCGTTCTGTATCACGTTTATTTTTTTAAAATTGTATCTATTTTTTTTATTATTTCGTTATTTTCCTTTATTTGTTTTATTTTATTTATTTCTCTTTTCTGTAAATAGTTATTATTTATATTTTCGTCCTGCTCATACCTTTGTTTATGTTTAAGAACTGTAGTAATGACTAATATAAATATTAGGGCAAGTAGTTAGGCTGATTGTTTAAGCCATAATCCTAAAAGATTTAACAAATTCATAAAAATGATAAACATTGAGGTAAGCAGTGTGGCTTTGTACTATATGAGGCTTAACTATGACTGCTCACTATCGAGAAAAATAAGTTTAGCATTAAGAAAAACAGAATAGTATTAGTAAAGTCTTCCCAAAGAATGAATTTTGTATAAATATGAGTCCTCTTCACTCTTCTGAAAGGACCAGTTATCAATTAACTAAAAATAAATAAACCACTATTTACCTTAAATTAATATCTTTAACTTTCCTAATTGTTAAATTCCCTAATCTCATTATAATTAATAATCAATTCCTCACCAAGTTTGTTAAATTATTGAATAAAGAATATGCTAGGTCTATTAATTAACATAAAGGAAGTAAATATTAAGGCCGAATAGACTTTTCACTGAGTAACTAAGAGCCGTATTCTTGATGAGTTTATAGAAAGTAATATCATGTGAAATATTAATGTTTAGATTATTGTACGATTTAGATATTATGAGTAATGATATATTGTAGGATTGTTAATAGAATCAGTTATTTAGATTAGTATAGAACATTACGAATTGTTTATTATTAGTATAGTGATCAATATTTGGATCACTTTTAAGTAATTAGTTTATTGTTATATGATTAAGATTAACATTTCCCCTTAGTATAAATTAACAAATTATTCTGATTATCCCTTAAATCACCAATCTGACCTTTATATTATATCTAACCTATATATAATAGATTATAGAACCTATTTGACATCATTTATCTATTTATTAGTATTTAGACATTATAACTCATACCATGTTAACTATTGGAGCTAAACCAGACATTATTAATTGTTCTCCCAATTTACAATAGTAATATTTAGTGCTGATTGTGTAGAAAATTAAATAATTTATCATAAACATTAGATTAGAAACATTAGCTTAAGATAATTCTTATAACCAAATTATAACTTACTAAAGAAATTATAATGGCTAATAACTTTTTAAATAACCTCACGAACCAAATTACTTAGTTGGTTCAACAAATACAGGTAGCGTCAGCTCTATAAATAAACGTACCAGTTGCTTATCAAGAACTAAATTTGGTTCACTATCCCAAATTTTCAGGAGGAGATCAAGACCTGATCTCTTGGTTAGAGAATATAGAAAAGGCTTTCGAAGCTAACTGTATTGCTGATAGTAGAAAGATCCCTGTAATAATTTATAAATTAAGAGGATCAGCTTCTACTTGGTAGGAAACTGCTAAACACCAAGTACCATAAATTGTTATTGAAGTGATAATGCTAATATCACTCAAAGTTTCAAAGCTAATTTTACTACTAAGTTTCGAACCCTGAGTTGGAATGCAAATAGTTTGCCTAGTTAACCTAACGAAAGCAACTTCCTAAAGAGAATGTTGACTCATATCATATAGCTATTGAAGAAATGATTCGTTAAGTTAAAGCCAGAGGTCACTAATACCCTGATTCAGCTAAAGTCCAAATATTTATTAACAAGCTAAGATCAGAGTTATATATGGCAGTTTTTTCTTTTACCCCAAACACATTACAAGCTGCCTATGATAAAGCAAAAGTCTTCAAAAACACTTATAAGCAAAATCCTACATATGCTACTTTTCTAGGTCAAACTGTAGGATATACACTCCAACCTACTTAACATTAATCTAAATCTATTCAAGTTCTGACCACCTTTTCAAATAGAACTGAATTAGCTATAAATTGACTTATCAAAATAATAAATAGAATGATGGTTCAAATACAAAATCAAAGACGTCTCCCAAAGAATTATTAAAACATTCAAAGAAACCTGAATTCAAACCTGACTATATGTTATAACTGTGAGCATTCTGGGCATATCAGCTGTTATTGTAATACTCTCTGTTAGCTCCTAGTCACGAATAACCCTCTAATGAATTCCCTACAAAATTCACCAAATAATGTTAACTCCCAAGAAACATTATTAGCATTATTAAACTTGATCCAACAAATAGCCCAACTTGAAGTTCCAGAAGGACACCAAACGTATTTAGGAATTAACACCGAAGAAACTTCTATTTTCACTCCTGTGGAAGTAGAAATAAGAAAAGATAACTCAATTGAAACCCGCACTAAAAAAAGAAAAGTAGATAAGGAAAATACAGAATTAAAAAAAGAACTAATGGAAGATAATAAAGAGAAAGAAGAACTGGAACCTACCTTAATTCAATGTAATTCACCAGAAGAAAAGAAAATTATAAAGAAAACTATACCTGTAAGGAAAAAGAAATTAGAGGATGACATCTCACAAATTTCATCTCTAGTCACCTCATATTCTATTATTACTGAAATCTGAGATAAGCTAGCTAATATTACTTTTGGACAATTGTTTAAGACTGCTCTCTCTATGAGATCTGATTTAATTAGGTCACTACAAAAGAAAAAGATATTGATTAGAAGAAAGATCAAAGCCAATATTAATTTACAAAATACCTAAAAGTCTACTGCCTTATACTGTGACACAAAAGTCCAAGAAAAAGTAATCTCCTTGATTGTTGATAGTAGATCATTCAGAAGCGTTGTATTGTTGTATCTTCTAAAAGACCTAGGTATAAAAATAAACTGCCTATTTATAGTTAACATGATTAATGTCCACAATAAGAGTAAAAGAGTCATTGGCGAGATTTCTAATTTCCTGTTTATCATTGGAGGGATGAAGATACCAATTGATGTTGTTGTCACTAATGCCAGTTCCTATAATACTTTCATAGATAATGACTAGTTATCAAAAGTGAATGCATTAATTGACTAGAACATAGCTAAGATGACACTTACATAGAATAAGAAAGAAGTTATAGTGCCTGCAGAATTCTGAAGAGTTACACCAAAACCACTTGAAGCCAATAAACCTACAAAAATAAGTGAGAAAGAAATTGAAATTAATGAAGAAGAGACTGAAGAAGAAGAAGAAGACGAAGAAGACAAATTTGAGGAAAAAGAAATAAAGGACCAAATTTATAGACTTTCCAAAATTGAAGAATTTTCTGAAGACACTTCTGAAGAGTCTGATTATGAAGAATATTATGGAAACTCTAATAAAAATAATCTCAGGGCCAGAGAAGCTTGGTAGAATCAAGATAGTGATGATGACTACATAAAAGAAGATAGTTATAGATAGAGTCATGAAGTAAATGAAAAAAAAATAAGTCTCATAGTACTACTTAACCCTTGGCCTATGGATAATCTGTAGATAATAGGTGTTAATCCACCAAAAGAAAGATAGAATGATGAGTAACATATCAACAAATTCCTTGAGTTAACTCCAAAACCCTTGTCAGATAAAAGATACAAAGAAATCACAGATTTTTACTTTGACAAAAAAGAAGACTCAGTTATTATCTATAATATAGAAGATTTACCTACAGAAGATAAGGATTGATTAATATCAATCCTAAATAAAAACCCAAATATATTTGCAAAAAATATCTCCTAACTTGGCTGAACAAATAGATGTTAATACAAGATAGTCACTGGTGATACTCTCTAATTAAATAACACTCATACTGTTATGTTGGTTTGACTTCTTTAACAAAACCAACTAACTAGAGAGACTAATAACAGTGAATACTTTGTGTAACGTCCCTTGTTACTGTATTTTGTCAAAGTCTTTAGAGCGTTTTTGTAAAACTTAACAAAGAAGATTTAAGGTAATTTGCAATTATGAAAGAGGCAACAATTAAAGATATATGAAG